ACGTTCATTCCAATATGTATTGTCTACTACCCGTGTTCAAAAGCTTTACAACCTTGCATATGTCTGTTGAAAACATACTAAAGTTCTACAAGACTTTTTTCTAAATTTGTTTGCAAGGGAAAGCGCCATTTCAAAGACTTAACTCAGAGCTGAGCTGCTAAGTTCTTCACACAATATTTAGAATATATATTTAAACTCTGCATTGGTTTTAATAGAAGCCTTTGTACATAGCTGTTGTTTTTTAAATTAAGCAGGCCGTATACCGCGCTTCAAACAAAAGATTGTTTTTAATAGAGTTGCCTTCTGTTGTAATGTATGTAGTCAAGCATATTACTGCAATATATTTAGACCAAGGAAAAGTTAGAATCTAAGTAATTTTTTAAGTACTGATGACTGAACTTAGGTTCTCAGTGTGCTTCCCCAGCTGTGTACTGCTTGGGTTACTCATACCCTTTGTTATAGTCTATCTTTATGGTGATAAACAGTAACAGATCACATCAGACTCAGACACATCACAGATAAACCTGTGATGCAGCCTTACCTGTCTGGGCATTATACAGAACTGCACTGAGATGGTGAGGAAGACCAGTGTGAGGCAACAGCCAGGAGGATACAGAGCACAGCTCTGTTTCTACATTCTGTAGATTTATGAAACGCTGGATGAAAAAACATACTGATACATTTGAATTAGGGTTAAAAAAAATGGGAGAGAAGTTCCTCTAAATTGCGTAGTTATTATGGAATAAGTCTTGAATGTTGCATTTGATGAAGAATACTTCACTAACCTGGTGCCAGACCTTCCTACAATGAAAAGACCATCAAATAAATTGTATAATTTTAGTTGAAAGCTTTATATTTGCTTATGTCAAACAAGCTTTTAGGACTTTCTTACTATTTGCTGTCTTCTCATGCCTGAATGAGAGATTTAATTGCCTTTTATAAAGGGCTGTTATTCAGACATTGAAATTAAGTTTTTTTTTTTTTTTTTAAAAACATGAAGTAAACCTATCACGAGCCGAGGATTAATGTTAGTGGTCAAGATTAAAAAAGAGGAGTGTTCTGCACTTAAAGGAGTTATGTTCTCAAAGCACAATGTATAACACGCCTAATGATTTGTGAGGACATCAAATATCCAATTTACATATCCCTTAAGCACTTCTACATGCATTCATCTGCAATACTAAATAATGTGCCTTTAAGGAATTAAAGATCAATTCAGTTGTTCCTCTGCTGTAATTTGTTTCTAATCTAGGTATGCCCCTACGGTGGGGCTACCGTACAAGTAACTCATTTCCGCTGCATTCCTATGTATGGCATAGTTAATTGAAATGAACAAATTTAACAAAATCTAAAATTTGCTGATCTTTAATAAATGGATGAATTATAGAAGAGTAAGTTCTGTCTGTAAGCTGTTATGCAACATAATATTCCACATATAGAAATTTTCCTGTTGTTCAACACAGTAGTAGATGCAAATTCTACTGTAAAGTATCTGAAATATTTGTAGGTACTAACTCTTGTGTAATTGTACTGAGGACAAAAAAAAAGAGCTGGGTTGTCCTATCTCACGCTGAAAATACTAAAGTACCAGTCCATACCACTACCGCTGTCATGCGTTAACTTTAGACTATATTGGGGAGTAAGTCAAGCATTGAGCAGTTAAGTGTTTTTTCTCAGATGTTGTGCTTTAGAGGCAGGAGGCGTGAATTTGAACTCCTGAGTCTGAGGCCTGGACATAAGGCGTGAATCAGCTATGTAACAGCAGAGAAAAGGCTGAAGGTACCTTCACTTCCATAAGGTGAAGTCCAGAGCGTGCTAAAGGTTGAACTCCAAATGAATAGGGAAATTTTACTGATGAGTACTTAAGCTCCTTTCCCCTTTAGGCAGCCAGATGTGAAGAGTCAAGATTCATAATTTTGTATTTAGATGTAAAATTGATGATGTAAATTTCTTTAGATCTCACCTTAAGTTTGCCTTAGCAAAGTATAACTAGACTCATTTTATTATTTCACAAGGAATATACATTTCATAGGCATTAAAAACTGGAAGGACAGTTGGGTTTTTGTCATACGATATGCAAGATGTAGAACTTTGCATTCATTTCCTTTTCTGAGGCAAGAGAAATCTGTATTCTGCTCTGCAGATTGCATAGATGCAGTTTGTACGTGCCTCTACGGATCTCTCTCAAAAAATCACTGCCTTTGTCCCAGGGCATCTGCAGGTCTGCCGCTTCCCATTTCTTGGTCAGTATTTACATCTGTTTTCCCTCATAGGAGACCAGCTCTATCTCTGCCCTGCAGTTCCCCAGTGGTAACTGGTCTCCAGGGCCTGTGTGCTGGATGGGACCACCTACCTGCAGCTGCCGGATTTGGTGTGAGCTACAGTGGGGCCAGGTGGTAGCATAACCATGGCAGTGGGGATAGCTGCGTGCAGTGCCCCTCTGGGGGCACGCAGAAATTACTGCATTGTCGAAGTGTCATGAACATGGAGTGGATGTAAACCTGCGTGTTTCCAGTGCTTTGTATCAGGTTTTGGCTATTGAAGGGCAGCAAGGAAATCAACATCACAGAAAAGAAGTTGTCCCCAAGGAACATACAGTGGAGTTTGAAGCAGGAGGGAGGGAAGATAGTGCTTTTCTTGGAAAGATGTGGGGCTACCTGGTGCCCTAGGCAGGCAGGGTGCTGAAGGTGGTAGATGGTGAGTCTGATTCAATGTGGAAGTTCTTAAGTTCCTGTAAATTATTTTACAAGTATTTCCCTGTGCAAGGCCATGTTCTGAAAACGGTAAGCATAAACACAAATCTTCTATTAAAAAAAAAAATTGGTTTTATTGACAAATCAAAAATATAGCAGTACTGTTTAGTGATAGAGGAAGAAATTATGCAGGTGGGCAACAAATGCCTCTAGATAGAGTGCTATTTCTCAGCTCGTATTAGTTCTAACGTCCTTGCAGTCCTTTTTTGGGGGGAGAGAATGGGGAAAATGGTACTGCATGTGCAGTTTCCCCAAATGACTAGGTGCTCATTTGAATAGAACAAAATGGTTGCGATGGTTGTGTACAGTTGGATTTGATAACAATCTTCTCTTCAACCAGATGGAGCAGAAGTGTGCTCCCACTAAATTACTTATTGACCTTTTTTCTCCACTAAAAACACCTGATCCAAGCTCTAGTAAAGCCAGGCTATACTTGATTTGCTACCAGTGATAAACCAAACACAAATATAGAAATTTGATTTTTCAATCCTTTTAAACTTTTTTTCTTCCCAAATAATTCTGTGCTTTCTCAGATCTCACCTTATCTCTTG